ACTTGTTAAACACTTGGTAGTCACTCAGCTCTGTCCATAATACACTTGTTAAACACTTGGTAGTCACTCAGCTCTGTCCATAATACACTTGTTAAACACCTGGTAGTCACTCAGCTCTGTCCATAATACACTTGTTAAACACTTGGTAGTCACTCAGCTCTGTCCATAATACACTTGTTAAACACTTGGTAGTCACTCAGCTCTGTCCATAATACACTTGTTAAACACCTGGTAGTCACTCAGCTCTGTCCATAATACACTTGTTAAACACTTGGTAGTCACTCAGCTCTGTCCATAATACACTTGTTAAACACTTGGTAGTCACTCAGCTCTGTCCATAATACACTTGTTAAACACTTGGTAGTCACTCAGCTCTGTCCATAATACACTTGTTAAACACTTGGTAGTCACTCAGCTCTGTCCATAATACACTTGTTAAACACTTGGTAGTCACTCAGCTCTGTCCATAATACGCTTGTGACACTAATTTTATAAGGACATTCTTAACAAGAGACATTTGTAAGGACATTCTTTACGAGAGACATTTGTAAGGACATTCTTTACAAGAGACATTTGTAAGGACATTCTTTATAAGAGACATTTGTAAGGACATTCTTAACAAGAGACATTTGTAAGGACATTCTTTACAAGAGACATTTGTAAGGACATTCTTAACAAGAGACATTTGTAAGGACATTCTTTACGAGAGACATTTGTAAGGACATTCTTAACAAGAGACACTTGTAAGGACATTCTTTACGAGAGACATTTGTAAGGACATTCTTTACAAGAGACATTTGTAAGGACATTCTTTATAAGAGACATTTGTAAGGACATTCTTAACAAGAGACATTTGTAAGGACATTCTTTATAATAGACATTTGTAAGGACATTCTTAACAAGAGACATTTGTAAGGACATTCTTAACAAGAGACATTTGTAAGGACATTCTTAACAAGAGACATTTGTAAGGACATTCTTTACGAGAGACATTTGTAAGGACATTCTTTACGAGAGACATTTGTAAGGAGATTCTTTACAAGAGACATTTGTAAAGACATTCTTTACAAGAGACATTTGTAAGGACATTCTTTACGAGAGACATTTGTAAGGACATTCTTTATAAGAGACATTTGTAAGGACATTCTTTACAAGAGACATTTGTAAGGACATTCTTTTTACGAGAGACATTTGTAAGGACATTCTTTACGAGAGACATTTGTAAGGACATTCTTTACGAGAGACATTCTTGTCCAAGACAAGAGTTAAATTCTGCTACTCACTCTATTTCTACTTCAAACGGTTTGATGAAAGGAGAGCCTTTCATTGTCTGGACTTTAACAATATGGTCATCAAGAAGTTGCTGGACATCTTCAATGCCAGACAAAATGTGAGTACCTGTGTCTCTGTAAGGCACGGTGACAAACTTCAGCTGTACAAACAAACATGCTAGTTTAGATACTGTGATAGACGTTTACATGACAATAAAGACTATCACAAAAAAACATTGGAGAAAAAAAACCAACCAATACTGGGAGAAAACTACATTAAGAATATCCTATCTATATGGTGCAAGGCCTGCTAAAAGATCAATAATACTCATTTTATGGGGAAATTCCATGTGTGAATTTGCTAAAAATATATTTAAACAGTTTTCTGCTCTCAACACTACTTTTGATCATTGAAATGATGGAAGTGTCCCAATGACTTACTGGCACCCAAGCTTCCATCATACTCTTCAGGGCCTTTTCTAGAGAAAATTCCTTGGTGGCTGCTTCATTGACCAGCTCAAACATGTTGAGATGTTTCTTAATGTCAAGGTCCAGGAAGTGGATCAAGTTGGTGCTCTCACTGGGAAAGATCTTTTTCCTAAACAAGGTCAAGGAAAACTCAATATTATCAACAAAGTCAAGTCAGTAGCAATCAAGTCAAGTCAGTAGCAATCAAGTCAAGTCAGTAGCAATCAAGTCAAGTCAGTAGCAGTCAAGTCAAGTCAGTAGCAATCAAGTCAAGTCAGTAGCAATCAAGTCAAGTCAGTAGCAGTCAAGTCAAGTCAGTAGCAGTCAAGTCAAGTCAGTAGCAATCAAGTCAAGTCAGTAGCAATCAAGTCAATTCAGTAGCAATCAAGTCAAGTCAGTAGCAATCAAGTCAAGTCAGTAGCAATCAAGTCAAGTCAGTAGCAATCAAGTCAAGTCAGTAGCAATCAAGTCAAGTCAGTAGCAATCAAGTCAAGTCAGTAGCAATCAAGTTCATGAGGTAGGCTAAAAATCATTTTTTTTAAACTTTTAAAATTGATAAAAATTTTAATGATTAGAACTAATTGATACAACACAGCCGATGACTATCAACGGTTACCCTGATATCTCTGATATTTGCTCCCAGTGACGTGTCCTCAGACCTGGATTAAAGAGTACATTGATGAGAGGGATGTGTTGTTTGAAGGCCTCTACCCTTTCTTTGAACTGTCAAATAAAGATTTTATAAAGTGCAACAAGGTGATGAGGATTTAGATTTAATGAGATTATTTCATGTTTTTTTTTTAACGAAGTGGCTATTCGGACCCGGTCCGAGAAGTTAAAGGTTGGGATTAAACATTTTTCAAAAATATACTATTGTTCAGTTGTAAGACAAAATTTGATATCAAATGAAAGATAATTGAATGGACTAGATGTTTGTAAACTTAATTCCTCAGTTTAACTAAAATAAAATACCACAAATGACATCCGAATAGCATTGAGCATAAAGGAACCCGGGTCCAAAAATTGACGATGCTTTATTGTATTTTAGTTAAACTTAAGAAGTAAGTTTACCAACATAGAGTCCATTCAATTATCTTTCATTTGATACCTCATATTGTCTTACCAACATAGAGTCCATTCAATTATCTTTCATTTGATACCTCATATTGTCCTACAAACCCTAAAATAATTTTGAAATATTTTTTGATAAACCTAAACTCTAACTTCTCGGACCCGAGTCTGAATAGCCACAGCCTTTTTTTAAAAGCGAAACATTTATGGAGAAGATTCACACAGAGATCAGAAAACCCATTATCAGAAATATTTCTTTTAACAATCAATCTGCCAGATATAAATCTAATGATCTTTATGTACACTGCAACCAAAGAGAACCTTGACAAAGTCTGAAATAAAATGATGGATGAACTGCTTATAAGTAGTAACTACAGGCCTGAAAGCCTAAGTATGATTAGTGAGCCGTTCCAATCAAGGCAAAAACTAAAAAAAAAAGGTCTAGCTATGATTAACTCACATGTACAGCTATAGCCTCTGTTCGAGGTTTCTTGGCAAACTGTTTTTCCAGTTTGAAGATAGATCTGTATGATGCCCCCACTGAGGCATCTACATCTTCAGGAAGTACATCTACCATAGGACCATACATCCACTTCCTGGCAGATAACATGACACGCTTGATTTACACATTGTGAAAATTTCATTAGTTTAAACAGTATGCCCAGTTTATTCTTTATCTTTGTCATGCTTGTATATAATCTTCTGCAAGCAGGCCCAATTTCTGGATTGGCAGGGTGGGTGGTATTGGTGGGGTGGGTGGTATTGGTGGGGCTGGTGGTATTGGTGGGACTGGTGGTATTGGTGGGACTGGTGGTATTGGTGGGATGGTGTTATTGGTGGGGAGGGTGGTATTGGTGGGACGGGTGGTATTGGCAGGGTGGGTGGTATTTGTGGGGTGGGTGGTATTGGAGGAGTGGGTGGTATTTGTGGGGTGGGTGGTATTTGTGGGGGTGGGTGGTATTGGTGGGACGGGTGGTATTGGAGGGGTGGGTGGTATTGGCGGGGTGGGTGGTATAGGTGGGGTGGGTGGTATTGGTGGGGTGGGTGGTATTGGTGGCATGGGTGTTATTGGCGTTGGTGGGGTTGGTGGTATTGGCGGGGTGGGTGGTATAGGTGGGGTGGGTGGTATTGGTGGGGTGGGTGGTATTGGTGGCATGGGTGTTATTGGCGTTGGTGGGGTTGGTGGTATTGGCGGGGTGGGTGGTATAGGTGGGGTGGGTGGTATTGGTGGGGTGGGTGGTATTGGTGGCATGGGTGTTATTGGCGTTGGTGGGGTTGGTGGTATTGGCGGGGTGGGTGGTATAGGTGGGGTGGGTGGTATTGGTGGGGTGGGTGGTATTGGTGGCATGGGTGTTATTGGCGTTGGTGGGGTTGGTGGTATTGGCGGGGTGGGTGGTATAGGTGGGGTGGGTGGTATTGGTGGGGTGGGTGGTATTGGTGGCATGGGTGTTATTGGCGTTGGTGGGGTTGGTGGTATTGGCGGGGTGGGTGGTATAGGTGGGGTGGGTGGTATTGGTGGGGTGGGTGGTATTGGTGGCATGGGTGTTATTGGCGTTGGTGGGGTTGGTGGTATTGGCGGGGTGGGTGGTATAGGTGGGGTGGGTGGTATTGGTGGGGTGGGTGGTATTGGTGGCATGGGTGTTATTGGCGTTGGTGGGGTTGGTGGTATTGGCGGGGTGGGTGGTATAGGTGGGGTGGGTGGTATTGGTGGGACGGCTAGTATTGGTGGGACATGTTTTACTGAAAGTTTATGGATCACAAATTTTCTCAGGTATGTATAGCATCTGAAAGCTCAGCTAACAACAACTCGAATTGGAAGTGAAAAAATCCTAGGCAGTAATGAATGAATATTGATGCTTCTCATCATGAAATGTTAAGAGCATTTCAATGTTAAGTGGTTATAAACTGCATATTTGCATTTGATTCATTTAAATTCAAGGGGCATTGAAAATCTTTTATTAGACAGGCCTCTGTTCACCTCAGCACTTTTAGTTTAAGGCTTTAAACAGTTTGTACAATTATACAATAACAAATTAAGCTGTAAATTATACAATTACAGCACATTCAAAAGGAATCAAATATTCTGAGCAAATATATAAATAAAGAGTTGTGGAATCGATCAAATCAATCAGTTGTTGATCTCATCCACTTGTATCCACAAATAGCAATTAAAAACAAACTGAGGATAACTTACGTGTGATTTTGACTGAACTGTGCACATTCTTTAAATAGACTTGCGTACGGCTTCAGTTTATTGATTGCTGCTGCTCGTAAAGGATACGATGAGACATCAAAGCCAAAAGCTTCTTCTTCTTCATTGAATTTGGCAATCTGAAATTCATAACTGTTTATAATACGTGTAACATTCTTTTTTACCAAAATTCATACGTGCAAGAGATTTTCTGTTCAAATGACAAAATCTTGCAAGCTGAAACCTACCCTCCCCGTTCCCAGCAGCACTCACCTTATCAGCAGCATTGTTCAATTTTTCTTGTAGCGCAATGGTCATGTTGTTGTAATTCTCAATCTGGTTCACGTCGGCACACAGGTCTAAGTCATCTACCTGTCTGGACAGTTCCTCCAGCTCAGTGGTAAATCTCAGTTTGTTGATCTGAGGAAAACATGTTATAAGTTAGCCATGCCACGCCATTCTGACAACAGGGAATGTGAGATGTTTATTTTGTGATATAATTCTGATGAATGTTTCCAGCGAAAGCCAAAAATTGTCATAAATGTAATTGTATTTGAAAGAGTTCAGTGAATGTTAATACAAGTGGATTGAGCTGTGCCAATCAAACTCTTGAGCTGTGCCTATCAAACTCTTGAGCTGTGCCAATCAAACTACAGCAAAAGAACAACTAACCTATCGCCTTCTTCTTATTATTATTATTACAAGTTTGTATGACCTTTAAGTCATCCTGAAGTTCTTTGAGTTTCTCCGCCATGATCAGTGCGTTCTCCTCTAGAATAGACTCCACTTTCTGGTGCCACTGGAAGGGTTCAGAGTTCAAACGTATAGTTGTTGGAGCAAAGGTACAGTAGTCTGACAAAAATACCAGTCTGAGGAGGGTTAACATTACAACATTTTGACAAATACAACAGTTGCAGTAGACTGACGACATCATAAGTTTTTGTAAGGAGAACATTATTGGCAGTAAATATTAGCTCAAGTTATAGCTGTAACAATTTTTGTTTAAATATCTCAACACCTAATGTTGGCACTACAATTAATACACTAAGCTGTTCATTGATACTCTGGGGCACACTATAAAACAGCTACCTTTTATTGCATTGAAGGAGCTCTTTATTGAACTCTGCCAGCATTTCATGTTTGACTTTTTTCATGAAGGCTTCCAGCGCCATGTACTCGTTTGTGTTGGTAGGTATGGTAAGTGCCGTATGACTCATTTCTTTGTAACGAACACAGATCCTAAAACAAAATATTAAACAGCGAAATATGACAATATGTTACCTGTCAATGTGTTTGAGTTTTTCGTCATTTTAAAAGGTTAACCGGACAGCATGTCATCCCCATCCCAAAAATAAGAAATATTTGATGCAAGTATTGTGAATGTCATTGATCTCACTGGTCATCTGTAATGGGTTAAAAGTGTTCATCCGTGGAAGATGTCACACAAAGTTCTAAAAGTTCCTCAAAGTACAATTAAAAAATAGAAATAAAGATGTTGAGAACAGAGTTATCAAACATTTTTCCTAACGATAATTCACTTCACAAATGGAGAGTCCACTGACATTTGCTGTAATGATCATAGACTGTGATTTATTTGTTCCATTAATAAGTTAATTTTTTTAATGGATATCTATGTTGGAGATAACTGGCCAAAGTGTACAACAGGAGAAGATAGTCTTACCTCTACTCTATGGTGTCAAAATATGACCATTTTAACATTTATGTAAGAGCTGTTTTTTGGGTGGGTAATGGTATGAATGGCCTCCCTTGATAGAAAGCTTTATTAAAGACTGTTACCCTTGAACAAAAAAAATCCCTAACATTTTGTCTATCTATGTTGTTTTGTTTGATTAAATGGTCAAAGGTCAAAGTTTTGTATTTGGGGTGCTTTTGAGCAATTTAATGTCATCTTTCTTGTTCTTTTAGCTTGAACTAAACATTTTTTTGTACTGAAAAATAATTAAGCCCCTATACTTAATTAAGCAGTGAAATTTGTCACATGGCTTAGAAAGGGGGTAAGGAAGGGGGGTTCCAAACCGGGGTGGGGTGGAGGGTTTCTGAAATATTGAGGGGCATCATTTCTGGCCAACTCCAGAGTTTTTGTCCTGGAAGGAAGTCTGCAAAAGTCTTGGCCCACCTTTAGGGGCACAAACCGTAAGTTATGCCTCTGATTTGTCCCTATTGTTCTCAGAAGTTTAAAGTATGTAAATTTAGTACATACCTACACTACAGTTTGCCTCTGACATACCAACACTGATATACCCCCACTGAAAACCACCACAGACATACAACCATTGACATACCACCACCATCATGCCACCGGTGGCGGACCACAACACTCAACTGCAATCAATAAATGACAACCCAACTGGTTCTGCCAACATGCCACCGGTGGCAGACCACAACGCTCAACTGCGATCCATCGACATTCAAACTGGTTCTGCAGTGAATAAATCAACACATACGCTTTGTTGGCCTCCAGGTGGTCTTCCAGCATCTGGTCCACCAAGACATCACAGATCCACTGCGTCCGTTCATGCAGTGTGTCCAGTATTCTCTCACTGTTCACTTCAAACATCCCCACAGTAGAGGACTGAACAAAACAAAAACACAGAATAATGAAGAGGTTGAATATGTTGAAAGATGTAATCAAACATTGGTTGAATATGTTGAAAGATGTAATCAAACATTGGTTGAATATGTTGAAAGATGTAGTCAAACATTGGTTGAATATGTTGAAAGATGTAATCAAACATTGGTTGAATATGTTGAAAGATGTAATCAAACATTGGTTGAATATGTTGAAAGATGTAATCAAACATTGGTTGAATATGTTGAAAGATGTAATCAAACATTGGTTGAATATGTTGAAAGATGTAATCAAACATTGGTTGAATATGTTGAAAGATGTAATCAAACATTGGTTGAATATGTTGAAAGATGTAATCAAACATTGGTTGAATATGTTGAAAGATGTAATCAAACATTGGTTGAATATGTTGAAAGATGTAATCAAACATTGGTTGAATATGTTGAAAGATGTAATCAAACATTGGTTGAATATGTTGAAAGATGTAATCAAACATTGGTTGAATATGTTGAAAGATGTAATCAAACATTGGTTGAATATGTTGAAAGATGTAATCAAACATTGGTTGAATATGTTGAAAGATGTAATCAAACATTGGTTGAATATGTTGAAAGATGTAATCAAACATTGGTTGAATATGTTGAAAGATGTAATCAAACATTGGTTGAATATGTTGAAAGATGTAATCAAACATTGGTTGAATATGTTGAAAGATGTAATCAAACATTGGTTGAATATGTTGAAAGATGTAATCAAACATTGGTTGAATATGTTGAAAGATGTAATCAAACATTGGTTGAATATGTTGAAAGATGTAATCAAACATTGGTTGAATATGTTGAAAGATGTAATCAAACATTGGTTGAATATGTTGAAAGATGTAATCAAACATTGGTTGAATATGTTGAAAGATGTAATCAAACATTGGTTGAATATGTTGAAAGATGTAATCAAACATTGGTTGAATATGTTGAAAGATGTAATCAAACATNTTGTATTTGTATTTTTTTTTTTTTTTTTTTTTTTTTTTTTTTTTTTTTTTTTTCTTTTTTTTTTTTAATTTTTTTTTGTTTTTTTTTGTCCCCCCCGGGGGGGGGGGGGGGGGACAAGTGCCCCACCTTGCCACTACCTGCGGGCCCCCATGAGAGCCATGCTATATATATACGCGTGCATTTACATAAGTGTATCGTTTATCATTTATTTATGAATCCACGGGGCAAGCTTTTAGGCCTGCACCAGGTGCATCTTTTCCTCAAAGGTATATGACACAAAGTCATTTAATGTAGTGCTCTCTTACATATGGAGTATCAAAGTTATCAGACTTACAATGGCTTAATGTAGTGCTCTCTTATCTATGGAGTATCAAAGATGTCAGCCATCAATGGTTTAATGTAGTGCTATTATATATAAGGTGTTTCAACTCAAAAATATGAGACAAGGAATGGTTTAATGTAGTGTTCTCTGATATAAAGAGCATTAAATCTATCAGACATACAATGATGTAATGCGGTGTTCTCTTATATAAAGAGCATTAAATCTATCAGACATACAATGATTTAATGTACCCGAGAAATATCACACATGACGTGGTTGGCAAGGTTTTGATAATAGTTGAATTTTTCTACAAGTTCATCAAATGGATGGGACTGACCAATAAAACTTTCGAGGTCAACTTTGGCCTGTAAAAACAAAATAAGTAATATTTAAAACATTATTTCACTTCTGAAAGGCCATCATACAGGGGACTTGTTAAAGCGGTGTCTGCTGAAGAAAAAATTTGAAAGGACATCATATGAGGGACTTGTTAAAGCCGTGTCTGCTGAAGAAGGCGTTTAGCGGAGCCTTCCTTCCTTGTAATTTTCTTCAACCCCAAAAATTTCGTATTCCACTATTTTTTTAAACCTTTTTAAAAATGAATTTAGCAAACTTTTAATTATTCATACCAAAGTGATGGCTTACTTATTTTCTATTAAAACTGTAACACAATATATATGCTTAAATTTTTCATATTGTTTAGTAACCAAAACTCTTTTATTTACATGCCGATATATACTCGTGTTGAAATTAAAGGAAAACAAATACACATTTTATTTAACCTAAGCTTAACATTAATTTTTTTTTTCCTTTGGGGACAACACTATTATTACTTAAAAAGATAGATCAGCTAGTAGTAGGCAACCTTGCTGGGCATGCAATAGAGATTCTATTTTAACTTTTTTTAAAATAATCACATTTATGTTAGGACTATTGCTTAACAGCTTCATCTGATGGCTGGCAGCATAATTTAATTTAATTTCTTTGGTCTCCATTACCTACCTTGTTGGAAATGAGAAATTCTAATTCAGAAAACACGTTAAGGAAATCCTCCAATGGCCCAAACTCTCGGTGGAGAACTGACAAAACTTGAGATTTCAGGCTTTCAATGAAATCGTCTGCTGTCACCGGTTGTAAGTATTTAGGCTCAATCTGTTGAAAGCACAATGACCAGTCTCATGCATCGGCATATAACAGTACATATCAAACACAACATAAACTTAATAAATATTGTCTTTTGGTTTCTTCTAATTAGCAAAGGCACTGAGTTTAATAGGGTCTGAAGAATAACCAAGGTTTCTACGATTCTATTTTCCAGGAACTAAACTTCCTTCCAAAAGATAGTATTTTTCTGTTTCAGCCAATACATTGGCAAGTCAATAACAAAATATTTTAAAATTTTAATTTTTCTTTTAAAATTTGAGTCATGTTAAATTATTTTTGATATCTCGATGCAATATTTTTAAGCTGTACATGCTTCAAATGATTTTACTCTAAGCCTATATTAAAGGTGTTTCCATTTTTTCTAGAATTAGAATTTTGAAATAGATTTTCATGAAATCCTGATATTAATTATGCTGAATAAATATTTAAATTCCAGTCATCGCCATATTTTTACTGAATGTGAAAATACAAAAACATATTTTAAAACAAACCGGACAAATGTACCTGTAAATCTGGGAACATGCGTCGCTCCAACCTAGGTATAGCTAGGGACGCTTTGATGATTTCATCAAACATGTTCAACAGAGTTTTTTCTATGTTGTCAAAACTTGGTTCAAAATCAATGTCCGACCCGTCATTATTGAGACAAAGGTTAACAACAAACCCACAGTGCTCCAGGACATTTGTACTGGTCTGTTCACAGGGAAAATAACATTTTTCTTCATATGAACATTTTTTAGTTCAAGCTAAAACAACAACAAAGATCACATCAATTGCTCAAAAGCACCCCAAATACAAAACTTTGACCTTTTAATAAAAAGATGTTTCTGTCATTGAAAGCTCTGTTGTTGTTATTCTTTTATGACTTAAGAAGATGTTAGTTTTATATATATAACACACACACACACACACACATACACATCACTCTATAGTATATGGTTCACCATTATTCTATTAATATTCTATTATTCCTGTATAGGAAACTATTTATACTTTTATTTTTAATTTAATATTTTTATTATATTTTCTTAAAGCCTTTAATGACTCTCAGTCAATCAAAACAAACATCTTAAACAGCTATCTTTTTTCATTAGTCATTAAATGTTACACAGTCCTCATTAAATGTTACACAGTTGTTATTAAATGTTACACAGTTGTCTCTTAACTTTTTCCCTATTCATCTAGGTGTATAATGACAAATGTGATGTAACTACACAACTTACTGGGACTGGTTGAAACATGTGCATGTAATCCTCCAAAGAATGAGCTGTCATCTGTTGGAGATGAAGCGTCATGATGGTTTTCATAGTCTGGAAGAACTTATTCACCTTATATAACTTGTCATTGGAAGAGGATGTCATTTTTTCAACAGGTGGCACAAATCTCTTATATTTATCTAGTTGAACCATATTTTGAAGCTTAACAAGCCAACTGAAGACATGTAAAAGAAACATGCATACATTATACTAGCCAACTGCAGACATGAAAAAGTATTATGCAAGAATTATACTAATCAATTCAGGTTTTTTAAAGTTAAATTTATGCATCTAAATTATTTAAGAGCTGCGGGACTGTTAATGAAAAAATTCAACCTTTTAGTCAGCCTTTCTTTAACGGAGGCTATGCTGGCTTGACAACAATCTTGAAAAGTTTCAATGTCAATAGCTTCTGTTCTCTCTTTAAACTCCTTTGTGTTTATAAAACGCAAATCTCTGAAACAGACAAAGAGGAACATGGTTATTGATACATATTCATTTTCTAATTTAAATGCATCACTTCCTTTCATCAATTGGCTCCTAAATTTAAAACTCAAATAGAAAGGTTTTTATCTTTTGTAGAAAATAAGAAAGGAAGTATAAAACATGTCTTGATAGATAATGCCTTTTAATTGTGTTTAAATATAATTTTCAAATATTATACCACAATGGGATTTCAGAAAGTTCCGCTAACTTTCAACCCTTGGAATTTAACAGTTTCTCTGGACATTGCTGCCCACCTATTATCATAAAAGGGAGGTCATCTTTGAAAACCTAAAATACAAAAAGTTAGTTGTGTGCCTCTTACACAAAATCAGAAAACCATATTTCAGTTGCTTGTCTGATACAAGGATTTACAACACACAGGTTTTTCTGAAGTTTTTCTTTGTATACAGTCAGAGCATGGTGCCATGGTTGAACAACAACATTGAGTTCCTTCATCTCAGGATTCAGATCCTTAGATTCGTCAATTTGTTTTCTGGGGTCTTTAAGTACAAAGTCCACTGTATGGAACCAAAGAAGGAAAAAACATAATTTCAAATAGAAGTAAAATCAAAAAGGTATCTTAAAAACATTTACAACACCAAATTTGCAAATCCAGTCATAAGCAGATCTATCAACTCAGCTAGGGTGGATATCATTGCTTTTTTTTTACATAAATTAAAAGGATTCTAACAAGTCCAATGACTGCTCACAATATCTCTACAGAGACGGATTTAAAAAAATGTATATACACCGATTTAAATACTCACATATTGATTTCTTTGTATTGAGGATGTAATCTTCTTTAATTTCATCACAGAGTCTTTCCAATGTTTTTGTCTGACCTTTCTACACATGATAAATAATAAGGCATACCTTAAATATTTTTAAGGAAAAGACAACAAAAATAGTTACTTGTGTGCAACAAACTCTTCTTAACATTCTAATCATTGACACAATTCTTAAATAAAAAAACAGGTTGGCTGAGAATTTCCTTATATGTTAACACAAGATTTTTATAATTCATGCTTGCCTAGTTATCTCATTGTTATTTAAACAACTCTGATATCTTTAGTATAATTGTTCATCACAAAATTCTCTAGTGATTAGGCCTATACTCTAAATTGGTCCAGATCCAGATTCTGGATTCCAGTTCTTTTCCTTTCATAAATGCTGTTCGTTGTAGATGGTACAATGCAGTTTTAGTTTTTCTTCAAAAGAAAGTCAAAGGCATTTCTATGAATAATTTGCTTCACTTAGTGAGGAAAAAAATCTTACCTTAAGGGTGGGACTGAGGCGAGAGAGTATATTGCCAATTACACTATCAGATAATGGCTGAATATCTGTCACATCAACCCCATTGTGGATATAATAAAAGTAGCGCTGTAAAATATTTTTTTAAATCATGTAATACAGGGAAATGCAGAAGATGTCATCAGCCGGGAAAAAACTTTTAAATGGGACTTTGATCTAGGTATTTTTTAACATCCTTTGATTACTTTAAATTATGGAAAGTCTTAGAAAAGGAATGTCCCTTGACAATGACATTGATCTTAAGTTCCATAAAAAGCTAGGGTGTAATTTTTATCACACTTTTCTTACTGTCTGGAATGCTGAATATCTAGATTATTTAACTTAAAATAGGCTCCTACTTCCGTCAAAATTTTGTGAATGTTTTTTTTTTTAAAAAGCTTTTTATATCTCAGAATAAGTTAGTTTGAGAATCCATTAAACTAAAATTACTAAGATGGTTTCCTAAAAATACTGTGCTGAAGTCAATAAATAACTATATTCATTTTAGTGAATAAGCCCATTATATAAAATGTCTAGTTTTAGTTTCTTTTAAAAATTTAAGTTTCTTACGAATAAATCAACTTCATTTGTTGACAACGATGGTCCTTTGTCAGGTTTCGGGATACTTGCATCCATAGACTCGATTGGTTGGATGGGGGGTCCTGACTTCCCTTGCCTTTTGATACAACACAAGATACATGTAGTAATAAATAAAAAATTTAAATGAATGAGATGACAGTAATAGACTTTCAATCCAGGGCCGTTTCTAGGTGTTAATCCTGTTTGCCGCCCTAAGCAAGAATTGAAAAATGGCTCCCCTCCCTTTAAATACCGTCACTCTCTCCCTCTGTCATCCAGGCTAGAAGAATTCATGCATTAGATAAAAAGAATTTGTATTAAAATTCAACATTAAACAATAATTTTAATTTTATTTTTTTCCCATCTTTTTTTTTTCCTCCAAATGTTTTCTGTGTTTGATTTCAAATTATAATTTTTACCACCCCTAAAATTTTGCCCCATAGTCTTGTCTAATGGTAGAAATGACCCTGTTTCAATATAAAATATCGTTTTGGTCAATTTTTGCAAAAATATCCACTATCTCTATAACCAATAATTTTCAAGATACAAAGCTCATTTGGTGTGAGTCTGTACTATATCAAATATTTAAATAAGAAAGCAATAAATTTGTATGCTAACATGAATTCTCACAAACCGCTTTTGACACGATCAGCAAGAATTTTGTCATTTGGTGCAAGCCCTATTTTATAGTGTAGATACTTTTGAAAATAAAACATGTTTTTTGTTGTGGAATAATTTTGGTTTATTTATAAATTATTGTGCATTTGGTAAATTAACTGATTCTTGGAGAACACACGTGGAAGGTAATTATAAGTAATTGTTTGTGGTTAAAATAATCAGTGATAAAGTGAATGTGATGATTTTTATTACAATAATACATACATATAATTAATTATTTTAAGGTCAAAGGTAATTGAATATTATTAATTTTCACATGTAAAGTTTCATTTTTTTCTTTGATGACTTATGTTGATAGGCAGAAGGCAGAGGCAGGACCGATTATGGTTGGGGGGGGGGGGAGATTAAAATTGACCTAAATATTGAGACGTCAATTAATCATTTATTTTAAGGATGGCCCGTAAATAAGTATTTTGAATATTATGCCTATATTAAATTAAATTTGCATTTTAGTTTTAAACATTTAACACACAATTAAACTTGCTGAAACTAAAACAGTATTTTACCGACTTTCAATTTAGAGAGGGGAAGAGCCTATCTCAAACTATAAAACTATTGTTTTGTAGTCCTTGATCTTAAAAAAGAACTTAAGAAGTAAAGAAGTACATTCTTTTTTCTATTTCCGGGAATGGGCAGATTATGCCTACTTCCTATCACGTCCCGCCCTTAAGTTAACAAAATTGATAGTTCTGTAACTGTAACGCAACTGACTTACAATTGCCTCTTCATTATCTACTTCCACAAGAAAACATGCACAATTCCACAAAGTGCGACAAAGTAAGGCAAATGTTTTCACTACTGACTTCTGATAACTTATTTAATAAATTCTTTTGTGTCAACGTTCATAATAATATTTTGGTTATTATGCCTTTCATCTTTATATTATTTCTATTCACTTTTAAAAATACCAGATCTTGAACAAGTGGTGTTTTTCATTTTTTTTTTTTTAAAACCTGTTATGTTAAAAAAAAAAAAAAAAATTATTTTACATAAAAATGTTGAGAAAAAATTTCTTAAAAAAAAAAAAAAAAAATTAACTTACATAACAATGTTGAGCAAAGATTTCCTTAAAAAAAAAAAACAAACTATTATGTTAAAAAAAATTAACTTACATAACAATGTTGAGCAAAGATTTCCTTTAAAAAAAAAAAACCTATTATGTCAACAACAAAAAATTAACTTACATAACAATGTTGAGCAAAGATTTCCTAAATGCTTCCTGTCGGCGTCTGCTTTCTTGTAATACTGCCAAACCGGCCTTGGCACTCTGACGTGAACGAAGTGGTTTCTTCTCTGGCATATCGTCGTCCTCGGTGTCTGGCGGCTCTATGAAATGTATAAATTTCAATATGTCCAAAAAATATTCAGTAGCTGAGAAATGCGCAGATCTATTTTCACATTTTAAAGTGATGTACCACAAATTTAAAATTGAGAATTCTCGTTTTGATGATAATGATTGGATACTTTTATAATTTATAGCGCTTGTGTCCACGCCATTTTAGCAGGCTCACGGCTTTCTGATGCCCTAACATCTTTTTAAATAAAAAAAAAAGTCTTTAATTGTTTCTTAAATGAGTTTTTATCATTTTCGCTTATCATTTCCCTCAAAGATTGAGGCAAATGTTTCATAATTTAGGTGCTATAGCTTCAAAAGAGAGCACTCCGTGTGAAGTTTTTCTGTTTCCATCCACACTGGGAACTCTCAATAAGGAATGCGTTGAAGAGTGCAGGTTCCTTAAGGGTACATGTTTAGAAATCACCTCTTTAAGATATATATGTGAAGAGCTTTTTATACAGCTGTACGCCAGGGACAGAATTTTGTGGTCAATGTGCTCACCCACAGTAAGCCAATGGTTTGAAGGACTTTCCACAGATATAATATGCATGGGCGTGGACTTGTGCTTGGGATAGCTCCAGTAGTTATTGGGTGTCAACACCGGCGCCAATGTAACGGTAATCTAATCTTTATTCGATTAGAGTGACTGCTACGGTAATGGCTGTACTCTTATTAAGCTGAGGACGCAACTGACCCAAGGCGCGTAGATGACAGAAACCAGCCCTGAACACAGAAT